AAAGGAAATCCTTTTAATGACCTTCTCCTCGCAATTAGTTGACTGTTAAGTACTGCGCCGGCCATCCAACCTGGAACGAAAAAGGAGCCCGCTTATGCCCCCTCCTTCTCTTCGCTGTGGCACACGCCCAAACCTCTCGTATTATATGCACCCTCTGTAGCGCTAAGTCGAGCCCTCTATCTACACCCAGTAAAATGAAAAGTTGTTGGAACCATCGTATGGTTTCTTTAGGGATCACCATAAAATATCGTTCAGGCAACGATGGGCTAGTGGTGAAAACCTTATTTTTCGTTTTTAAACCTCAGCTATTGTTGCCTCAACCACATTTTATGGTTGCCATAAGTAGTAACCATACGATGTTTGCAACAATTTTTCAGTTTTCTCGGTGCAGTGTTGTGCCGCTAGTCTGTAAGTATTGATGTGACTGCTCATCCTAACCCTCTTCCTCTCTGTATTGCAGATGCCCGCCTAGCGCCGCCTAGCCCCCCGTAGCGCAGCCCGCTAGCCCAGCCCCCCCGCGATGGCCACCACGGCAGCGTCCCGGCCCGTGGCCCCGCCCGGGCTGGTGGCCAACCCGCACCCCGTGGCGCCCACCCTGCGCCACTCGGCCTCCTTCTCCTGCCTGTACTCGCGGCGGCCGCACCGCGCGCGCACCGCCACCCTCCCCGCGCCGCCCGCGGCGTCCCCGGCCGCGGCGCTGCAGCAGCACGTCGAGACCGACTACGGCTTCGTGGTGCGCGGCAGCGGCGGCGTGCAGCGCGGCCACCTGCACTACCTCAACCACATCCACCACCACCACCACCAGCTGCTCGTGCGCGAGCCCGTGCCCGAGGACGGCGAGGTGGCCGTCACGCCCAAGAAGGACAACCTGCGCGACGTGCTGGTGAAGAAGTCGGCCTCGCTGCTCAGCCCGTCGGCGTGGTGGCTGCAGCGCCGCGGCCAGGACCCGCCGCCGCCCCACCAGCAGCCGCCGCCGCCACCCCCGCCGGGCGCCGCCCCCGGTCCCGCCCCCGGCCAGCAGCGGCGCTGGCGGAGCCTCGGCGCCCTGCTCAGGACTCCGTCGTCGGCCACCGCACCGCAGGCCCCGCCGCCGCAGAGCTTCTACCTGCTGGACGATTTCCTGGGCCCTACTTCCACGTCGTCGGCCCGGGGCTCGGCAGCGAGCTCCGGCTCGGGCGGCGCGCACCACAACACGAGCTCCTCCGACTCCCTGGAGCTGTCGTCGCCGCTGCCGCCCGCCGTGCCGCCGCCGCCGCCGCCCCTCCGCATGCGCCGGCCCTGCCACTGCCGGCAGTGCCACCGCGAGCACAGCGCACAACCGGTGAGTACTCCGGGATTGTGATTGGGCTGCGCTGCCGCCTTGGTGATTGGACGCGCTGAAACTGAAAATCAGGTCT